CCCCAAAACCCCAAAACCCCAAAACCCCAAAACCCCAAAACCCCTTTTATCGCTAATTTCATTGAATTAAATAAATGGATTACACTTCCATAAATCCTTCAAGATCCATCTGCTTCTTCTTTTTCTTCTTGGATTTCTTCTTGGCTGGCTTAGAGTGGTCAATCAAGTCGATGTTAGAGTATCCAGCTCCACTATTTCTCATTTTCTTGTATGCTTCCTCTGCGCGATAGATGTTATAGAAGTGTAAGTAAAAACCTCCTCTAATTCCTATCTTTTCAGTATAAAATTCAGAGTGGAAGCCAATCAGATTTCTCTTGATGTCCTCTAGGGAGCTTCCGATAGGAAGCTCACCTACTTTAATTGAGGCTTCAAATAATTTGTTCTTTCTCTCTTCAGCATCTTTGCTTAGAATTCCTTTCTTAATAAGCTTAACATATTCACTGAGCAAGGTAGCTGGGACTTGAGTGGTTTCATCCTTGTAGTAGACATCAGTTACCTTCTTTTGCCCCTTGAAGCGCCCTCCATATGTGCAGACTTCAAGGAAGTAATGCTCTTTGGCAAGATTACAGATATATTTTCTCATTCCTGGCTCTATTTCTGGGAGGCTCTTAGTTTCTTTGTTTCTTACAACTTCTTCTAGAATTCTTTCAATTTTCACTACAACTTTCAGGTGTTCTGTAGCAAAATCGATCAAAATTTCAGGGTAGTAATCAGCTTTAAGCTCTTTCTGTTTCTTTTCGTCCTTTTTAGCGAATGCTTTGGCTATTTGAGCGTCTCTCTTATTTTTCATACACTCACCGTTACATTCAATCTCTTTAGCTTCCTCTTCTTCATAGCCTTCAAAGAATCTGTTGCAAATTCCAATGATGTGTCTGTACTTGCATTTACAGTAAATCTTGATTTCTGCATCACAAGGAACATCTGGGCATTCTGAGTCGTCATGACATTTTTCTTGACATTTATGGTCGCAGTTCTTCCTTTTTCTGTTACATTTTGCATTACATTTTTGTTCTTCCCCTTCTTCCATGTATTTTTCATGATCATGACACATTTTTCTGCAGTGGTGACCACAAGGCATTTTCACGTCTCAGATTTGTCCACAGCTTGGAGATTGATCACCACATTTGACGCTTTCGAGCTCAATCTTCCCACAAGCACAAAGCTTTTTGACTCCTTGTGTGCATGGAGGGCAAGGACCAGGATGGCATTGTTGCCCGCATGGATGTCCACAAGCCTCATGTTTCTTTGTGCATTGTCTGAAACAGTATGGTTTTTCTCCACATCTGACTGGAGGCTGAATCACAGTTGCTCCACAAGCGCAGGATAGAGGATGATTTGAATAAACTGAGCAAGGGTCTCAAGGACCTGTATGGCAAAACTGAGAACAGTTATGAATTCCACATGGCAAAGGCTTATCTCAGGTGTTTACACATAAATGAACTCCGTCGGGGTCATTCCCTCTTTCTGCTGGACAACAGTATGCTTGGCATCTATGTTTCTTACAGCTCTTGATTTGACTACACTTCTTAACACATCTGAATGGTTGTTCTCTGAGATCTTCAATCTCTCTCATTAATTCTTCACCGAAAATTGCGATTTCTTGAATTGGGTATTTTAGTTCATAGCATTTCTTCTTTCTTTGTCCCTTACCACATACACAGATATCAATGAGTGGTACTTGACAGAGATTGCAAGGACCCTGATGACAAGGGCTCTTACAGTGGTGTGTTCCACAAGGTAAGCGCTTCCCACAGATAGAGTTACATGTTGGGACATCATCCAAACACGACTTTCTGAGTTCCGATGCTCCCATTGATTTCAACAAAGTTTTACCACAAGGTCAAAGCTTGACCTTTCCTGGTGCCAAATCTCACTCATCACAGGCACCCTTATGACATGTTTTCTGGCAGGTATGATTTCCGCAGTCGAGTGGTTTGCCACAGATCCTTCTACAGGAAGCACCAACAACTCCACACTCTACTTCAAATTCTTCTTTTCCACAATAGCAAGCAAGTTTCTCTTTGACTTGACAAGGTGGTCAAGGCCCATCATGGCAATCTTCTTCACAAATGTGATTGTAGCATCCAAGCATCTTTCCACAAATATCTCTACAACTATAATGAGTGTTCTGAGATCTTATCTGGCAAGTAACTTGTTTAGTTTGCTTTCCACAGAAGCAAGAGATGGTCACGAATTCCTCACAAGGAACACATGCACCAGGATGGCACTCAAGATTACACCTTGAATGACCTCAAGTCTTGTTCTTTTTCTTTCCACAGTTTTCATTACAACTGTGAGGAAGTCTATAAGAGCTATGTTCTGGGTTAATATCTTTTCCACAATAGCAGTTGTACTTCGGCATGGGGTCACAATAGTTATGAGTACAGTTAGGACATGACCAGTTATATAAGTCAGTTGCTTTTATGATAACTTGCCCATTTTCATCGAGCCTAAGTCCAACTTTCGTTCCTTCATTGTTTTCATCTTCAGCAGTTATCTCTTCCTTTCTATCTTCATATGGCATCTGGGAGATAGGTCCTTCTGAATTGATCTTCTTGATCCATTTCCTGATACATCCAAGATGGAAGGGCTGATAGCAAGTCTTGCAGTTCCATATGGCAGAGATTTGGACAATTTCATTTGTACAGATGGCGCATTGAATACTACCATCTCATAACTCCTTTACAAGATATTCGGTTTTTTCTGGGAGCCCATCGTACTTCTTCAAGAAGTCCTCTGCTTGGTAGTAGACTTTAGTATCCTCAGGCTCTACATAGCAAATAGGAGGGTTGCTTCCACTAGTGTTTTCTCTTCTTTCATATTCTCCATGTTGAATTCTTTGAGGAGGTTTAAATTCTTTTGATCTTGTGTCTAATGTTTGCTCATTTAGAGGAGGTGGAACTCTAGGATATCCACCACGGCCTTTTCCTCTGTAGCTACCTCTGTTTCCTCCTCTATCGTTTCTGTATCCCCCTCTGTCATTTCTGTATCCCCCTCTGTCATTTCTGTATCCCCCTCTATATCTTCCTCTTCCTCTACCTCTTCCTCTTGGGTGTTCATTGTAGTGCTGGGTAGAGCTTCTATATGAATCATCTTTCTGGGATGATTCATATTGTTCTTGATAATGTTCTTCTCCTTCATTAAATTGGGCTTGGTGAGGTTCAAAGTAGTGATTACGAGATCCACGGCCTCTAAAGCGTCCGCGTCTATATCCTCGGCCTCTTCTACCACCTCTGGAATAGCCCCTGCTTAGTCCGGTGTCCATTTTTAATATTATTAAAAATTGAGTGAAATCTAATTTATCCATTCACAAGCCACTAAGAGGGGTTTTGGGGTTTTGGGGTTTTGGGGTTTTGGGG